AGAGTCCCTTTGCCAAAACCACCAGAAATGTAGAGGAAACCCTTTAACATGAGAAGGGATGTTGATTACATCTGTACCCCTACAGACCCCCTACAGCTTTTTTAGTCTTACCTTCACAGCCTCCTATTCAATCAAACTGCTAAGGTAAGAGTGGAGGGTAAAAAGCAGAAGCTACTACTAATAAAACCACTGGTTCTCATTCAGCTGAATCCCAGTTAGACCAGACTTTAATTTTAAGTTATGTTACTAGTCACACACTTCAACGTGAGAACAGAAAAGCTGCCAGATTTGATATATTGAAATCCAGAATGCTAAAAAACACACATACATAACTTTGTGTAGGCATATGGAGCTCACCACTGATTTATAAAGGAGACAAAAGGAAGAGCTTTACACACTCTGCATGCATGGGCACTTCTGCCACTTTCTAGGACGCTGAGCAGCCTGGTAGCTGGACATCCAGAAGGGCTCTCAGTTGCTGTGAAAATCCTGGAAAAGTTGCTACCCATATTCATATATGACAAAGGATTAGGCTGAGTGGTATAGGACTACTCTTATAACACTGGAAGTCTAGAACCATGAAAGAAAAAATCTGCCGCCAATCTCTCATTAGTCTGTGGGATAGTTAGATAATGTAATACTTCTTTTTTTTTCCTGGGCTCATCGAAATACAATTAAGAAATTACTGGATGGATTTTATCACTCCATGGCTTTTCAGAAATTTGTCTTCTTATCTTATGTGGCAGTCTAGTATCTAAAACCATGAAACAATCAAAATGAGAGGGCGGGATTAAAAAAAAAAAAATCACTTTTTAGTACTTTCAGACAGGAGTCGGAATCTCTTTTAATGGCTGAACATAAGAGGAGGTAGGTCTGTGACAATAAGCTCCAGAACCAGGGCCGTGCTGAGCAGGAAGCTCCTCAAAGGTAGCACACACAATGTGAAGCTGCCTGGAGTCAACCGTAAGAACTGCTGAGCACTGCAGTGTGTCTTTATTCACGGCTGCATGAATACCCTTCTCCCTTGGGACATGCCATCTGAAACCCTCACCTGAATGCAGACATTTTCTGTCCTTTCTTAGAGGGACACTGTTTTCTTTTAAAACATATCAGGAAACGGGGTCATGCTCCCTTTTATACAATAGCGTAATGGCTTGAACACTTGTTCAGGAAACAGGAAAAGTAGGCTCCTTTCCTTGCTCTGTCAGAGGGGATCCAAGCCTACTTCTCCCTCGCTGGGCAATGTCCTACCCCTTAGCTATAAGCTGATATGTGGAAGACAGCACTCTCCAACCTTTCTGTTGAAGCTGTCTCACTCACTACTCATAAAAAAATTTGGGGACAGAAAAAAGACTCCTGCTTACTTGCCAGCCTGTCTCCAGACCTTTCCATACTTTACATTAAAGAGTCATTAGATCAAACACAGAAGGAGACTTAATCATACAGTAGCAAAGCAATGGTTTTCAGCATCATAGCTGTTAACTTAGTCACCTGAATTTTACTTTAAGTGAAGTCTTTAGATCCAGTCTGAAGTCTACTGATTTAGGCACATCCACAAAGCCATACATAAGCTAAAATATCCAGCAAGACAAAGGTGCTTATAGAGACTGATCAATTAACTAAATGTGAAGAAAATTAATGAGGGGCATCAGCAAAAGTTGATCCATTGAACTCACTTCAAATACTATTCTGATAAAAGCAATAAAGCTGATTAACACATTCTCTGGGAATTCAGAGATGTGCTAGCAAATGTTTTCTGAAATCCATACTGGCAAGAAAGTTAATCTCCCAGAAACAGCTCAGTGATTTTACCCAATCCTATGGAATTTATTATAACTCAATGAACCAGAAACCTCTGAGGAAGAAAACGGGAACAAAGAGTACAGGAGATTTTCAAAACAAAATCACATTTTCAAAGAAGACAAAGGAATCTTCCTGGATTAAATATTCCAATCAAGTAAAAATCTACACAGTAGTAAGGCCAGAAAGCTTGGATTATTTACACAGTTCCCAGCCAAATCCTCTTCGGGTACTACAAAACACAGTCCCACCATTTGCACACCTGCATGTGAAGCCAAATGTGTATCCCTACTGTTTTGCTGACCGCAGGTGCAAGTCCAAAAATGCATTTGATTTCTTTCTTCCAAGCCCTTGGCAAAGGGACTGCATCCCTAACTATCTACAGATAGAACAGCAGATACAGGTTTTTTCTGCATTCAGGTATTTTTCCATTGCTTTTTGTTTGCTTTTGTTATGAATGCAAACTACAGGGCTCAACAGCATCCCTCACTACTACAAATCTTCATATACCATGGTCTCCAACTGACCACTGTGAGCCAGATCAAAGTCAGTCATCTTCATCCTCTGGCTTCTGTGCCCAGCTCCCTGGCCTGAGACCATAAATCCATCGATAACTTCCACCCCAGCTACAACAGAACCATTTGTTAAGTGCAAGGGGATCAATAAATCAGACCTTAAGCCCAGTCCACTACTATTTCAAGTTAATTACAAAGGGATTATTTTCCTTTAGCCCAGTACCTATACAAAATAATATTGCTTAGATGAACCAATTATTCAGGTTCAGTTCCCTCTACGTGTTACACAGGAGTTTGACTGAACCAATTTTAACCAGAGCTCTAATCGATATGATCCCTTGTTGCGGCAGGAGACGCCAGCCATTCAGATGCCTGAGAAAAATCCCCTCCAAAATGGACATAGTAGCAATATAAATATGTGTGGGTGAAAAGGGGATTTTCAAACGTTCTTTTACTGTGTTCATGAATCTCACAAAGCTGCTCTGTATCGGGAGTGGGGGAGGAGAAAGCATAAAAATATTAATCAGTTACTTATCTTCTGACATGTTCTGGATCAACATCTGGTGCATGTGCAACTGATGAAGTATGGCATTTGGCACAAAAGCTTATTTAATCTTCTCTTCCCAAATTGGGCAGGGAAAATTAGCACTCTTAAAAATTAAGTTTCCAGATCCAATTTTTTTTCTTTAAAATAAATTGCCAACATTGTATAGGCTGTTCTATTTTGGAAAATGTTTTTCGTCTGAGAAAAGACTGATCTTAAGTAGATTATCTACGCGCTGTTTCCTACCGCTTTTTGTCTCCCCTGCAGTATCGTACTGCCAGGGTTTAGTAGACAAGTATAGTCTAGGTTCAGCTGTTTTATTTCTACTTCTATCAGTTCAAACTGAGATAGCTCACACATCTGTTTTATTTCTGAAAGCACTGCATAGGAAAAGTGTCCAGCTCATTCTAATCAAGCATAAACTTTCCTATAAATAACTAAGGACCTAACGAAACAATTGTTTGGAGGAAATGAAAGTGTGTTTAGAAACTCAAATTCCTCTATACTGTATGCCTGAGCTGTTCCAGTTTGAATGTCTTCCTGACAGCATGGATCAGTTGCTCTAAGATGCTGTCCCCGGAGTCAGCAAACTGAAACTATAGCAGGAAATCCAGGTATTAACATCATACTATGTGCTAATTATAAACCATCATTTCACATTCTGACATTATTCACTTCTAACCTCTTTTAACTAAATCACGTATTTGCTTTCTAATCACAGTTTGACAGGAGAGAGTGTCTGACACGAGACACTGAAGTGATCTTTTAATAAGATAGCAGTTCAAAGATTGCAGCTTTTACGCATAATAAAGACCTTAGTTTGATTTGCTGCTCCACAAAGAAGATGTAGAGTTTCTGAAAAAAGAGGAAAAGTTTAAATCACTTAAAAAGCTTCAAGTTCCTGACTTGTGTTCCGGTTTCAGCTTCTTACTTGAAGTCAGATGTTAGCCATCTTAACCTGTTTTGCAAAATTTCTTTCCTATAGCTACAGTCTCCGCAAGCACTATTAAATATTTTCCACCTTCCACCTTTTTATTTTAACATACCCTGAGTTTTGTCTGGTGATTACTACCAGGTCGGACATCATGTCCTATGCAAACATACACTCAACACTGGATGGACATTTGAACTGCTTTTGCATGTAAACCTTGTTACTTTTTTTTTCCCCCTTAAAATCCAAATTTTAATGTCAAAGAATATTGAGGTATCTTACTGCATCTCTCAGTTCACTCACGAGAGGATTTTTTTTAAACCAGCATCATTTTTTTTTAACTAATTAATTAAATATTAGCTGATAAGAAACTAACAGAGACTCCATGAAAAAGCTTTTGAGTCCACTCTTTTATTGTAAAAATAAGATTTTTTTTTTTTTTTTAAAAAAGCGTAGTTTTTTCCCTGCTCCAACTAGATGAGAAAATGACTGAGGCAATAGTCAATAGTTTGCATGCTCACTAATGTGAAGGACAGTGTGGATCACTGTTACTTTAAAAAAGCAGTATCTGTAGTTTTTTCCCTGCTCCAACTAGATGAGAAAATGACTGAGGCAATAGTCCTTTCCTTGCATGCTCACTAATGTGAAGGACAGTGTGGATCACTGTTACTTTTTGAAATGTTTTAAATACCCATTGTGTATCCTGTTTTTCTGGCACTAGACAACTTTAGAGTTGCCAAGACTTGCCATTTATTTTATCTTAATAAAGAATCAATAAGCCAAATCTTGACTCCCAGCAGCTGATAATTTAGGATTACATTTTTAATTTCCAGCTGCTGTCTTTTGTCTATCTGGTTGTTACTTTTCATTATTATTTGCTCTTTTCTTTCCGTGACAGCAAATCCTTCAGATATGATTACCAATTCAGCAATTTGCCTGTTTGCTGAATAAGATCTTTTGCTATTGATTACCACAACCACTAAATCGTACACAGAAATGTCACTGGTCAAAAAGCCAAGTACTCCTCTACTGTACAAGATGCTCAGCAGACCTGCAGAAAGCCTGGCTAAAATAGACCAAAGTGGTTCTTAAGGCTTAAGCAGGTTATATGAAATACGTTAATCACATAGGTAGGAGAGGCTTTGCAAATAACCGACTTTGCAGTTGAGAAGGCAGTTAGCAGAAGCGGGGAGGCTGGGAAAATACAAACCTGCACATCGTAAGTCCCATTTAATAAGACAGGCCTCTGGGAATTGATGTCCTGCAGCACTCCTGAAAGCACAGTGCGGTTGACTTTCTGGAAGTCTTTGGAGTGGCTGAATTGCACCATGTTGTGGAGAGCCAAAATTTTAGTGTCAAGCTCAGCATCCTGCCTGGTGCGGTTGTGCAGTCCTAGGTGGTACTTGCGGAAGTGTTTGATGAGATCTGTGGGGTCGTTCCCATAGTAACCGTATCCACAGATGTTGCATTTGAAGTCCTGAAGCTCTGGAGACAGAGGCGCCGTATCTGGGTTATCATTTACCAACAAATCTGCTTTAGATTTGTTCAGCCTTAAACCCCCATCTGAAGGCACTTGTGGGTTTTTTGAGGCCATGGGGACCGGGCTTGAGCCTTGGCCATCAGTTTGACCACTTTGCACTTGCACTGTTTCATCTGAAGCTTTTGGCGACATCTGATGCTCCTCATTTGTCTCCGCTGCATCTCCTGACGGGGTACAGACCACATCTTGGGTGTCATCTGCATCTGATTTTTGAGGAGACTTCAAGGGCTCACAGATTCCCCCAACAGCTGGAGATGAGAAAGCCAGCATATTTCTGTCTGTCACCTCATCATGAGGGAAGGATGGAACATTTCCTCCCTTATTGTGGCTTTCATAATTGAAGCCAGCCTTTTCACTCAGCACTGAGCTTTTCAAGTCCTTTTTAATGCTGGAAGATGGCTCTTGGACATGCGTGCAAAGTTCCTCCTTGTTATTTAACTCTGCCGCATCACCCTGGTCAGTGTTTTCTTGCATCTGCTCTGCGGAAAATTCTTTTTTCCTTCCAGACTCTTCACTTTCAGTACCTGTAGACTCAAGGGTCTGTACCTCACCTTCACTAGCAACGTTTCTTAGAGGGGGGTTCTTTTTCCGGACCATATCTACCACAGAAAAAAAAAAAAAAGGAAAAAAGAAAGAAAGAAAGAAAAAAAGCAAAAAACCCTATAGAATTATTCAAGATTAATAACAGATTATAAGCCTGGCACTTTTTAAAGCATTCTGAACTATATGAATACATCAACTTTTCAGAAAATTTTTGTCAAGCAGGTTTTTAGTCTATGCAGAAAACTGGAACTTTATGTTAAAAAAAATGGTCACACTGAGACTGAACTTAAATAAAAGACAACTTTAAAGTACAAAAACACTGCCATCAGAGTGAGTGAATTACAGGTTTCATTATCTTTTCAGAAGATAATGGTCTGGCAGAAATAATTTTAAATGAACGCTTCCTTTGAAATAACTTTAAATAACTAAGGGAAAAATAAACTTTTGCAGTCTCATGTTCATACACCGTACAACTACATAATGTAGCTTTGCAAAAATACACCTAAAAGACATAATCAGGAGCACTTAAACAAGTTATTAGGAAGGAAACAGATTTAGGCAAGTAAGTAACTTTGAGGTTTCAGAGAAAGTATTTTTCCCAAGCAGGTATCAGTTTCTCTATAGCAAAAGCTCCCCCTCCTACTGCCCATAAACTTCAAACAGGATTATATGGATATTCTAGAGTCTGGCCCCACAGTCCATTATTCATGTAATTAGTTCTATTTGCCAAACAGAGAGAAACTAACTTTATTAGGAAACCCGTTGTCAATAAAATTTTACAGGCCTGGATCCAGACATTTGACATTGCTGTGTGGCTGAGTCGGGATCTACCCCGAAAACACCTGGAATCCACATGGATCTAAACAGCCAAACCCTCCTCTGCTCAGCCCTCCTTGCAAACGTAGCCGCTATTGCTAAATCTGCAAGTACACTTTCAGGATCCATTTAAGAAAGGAAACCCGTTGTCAATAAAATTTTACAGGCCTGGATCCAGACATTTGACATTGCTGTGTGGCTGAGTCGGGATCTACCCCGAAAACACCTGGAATCCACATGGATCTAAACAGCCAAACCCTCCTCTGCTCAGCCCTCCTTGCAAACGTAGCCGCTATTGCTAAATCTGCAAGTACACTTTCAGGATCCATTTAAGAAAGCTCAGACAGGACAGCAATAAGGATCAGAGAGAAAGAAGGAGTCTGCCACCAGTGAGTTAGCTGAACATGGGAGATTATGGAAGAACAAATAATCAGACTATGCAGGTAGTAAGCCAAATTCCTTGTCTGCTACATATCTTCACCTTCCCCAGCCTACTTAGAGAAAATTTATATATGAAACTTCCCTGCCCTCTCCACTGTGTGGTTCTGGATTTGATACTCATCACCAGCTGGTTTGATCCATTTGTGTTCACATGCTAGCTATGGGCAGAAGACAGATGTGCTACAACTTCTTCTATGCTCTTATCTTTGCCAATGCTGTATACAATGACGAATGCTTGTCTTGCCAAATTGCGTGTGGTCCGGTGGCAGTAGCCTGCAGTACCACACATGAGATGTGAGCTGCAGACTCAAGCCTGAGCCCCCATTCCCAGGCCAGCCACGGCCAGGCACCTACAGAGGCACTGGAGATATATATTGCTCTGCGAAGGGAGGACCGCCTGGCGATTCTGGGAGCAGCACTGATGCGCTCCAAATGGTGCTGCATCCAGACCTTTAAAAGCCACGGATGACCTTCTCAAAACAGTACTTTGAGAAGTACGGCTGGGGACGGAGGTTAAAAATAAAAGAAGAGGCATCTGTACATCCTCTTATTTACATCTGCTCCACATGAAAGGGCACTGTGTGCTATGTTGATAAAAACAGACAAGTTCTTAGGGGAAGTGTTCAACTTGTGTCTTGGGCTGGGTCTGTTGTCTTTGTGGTTGAGCTGATCCACAGGCAGCATGGGCTACAGCGAGACGGCTTTCACACAGAATGCCAGCTCATGTTACTGAAATTTTGACACTCCGTGTGGTCTTAATAGGTTTCTTAAATGCCTACTGTGATTCCTTACTGTAGAAGACACATGCTTGGGAACCAAGTGTCTTCTCTTTAATGTCAGCCACACCTACTGGGATATGTATGCACTGAATTTTACTTTTTTTTCCCCGATAACTTCTGAACCATGAAGTAAGAGAAAAGAAAGATTTCCTGTTGTGGTAAGAGAACTATTACAATACAGACTCAGCCTACTAAAACAACATGAGCACGTACATAATTCAAGGTATAAAGACAGTCCTTAGCCTTTTAGCATTACTGCTTCTCTGTGGGACTTCATGAATGCTCTTGGTTAACACACACTAAAAATATTGGTGAGCATCTCTGGTCGGTGTTCAGCTAAGTCTGTATTTTTCTCCTGATTACACGTCCCAAACCACTTTTAAAATAACTTCTGTTTAAAAGCAATTCATGGCAGTTAGAGGACAGAGAAAGGAGTTCTGACTACGCAGTGAAGACAAAATGAGAAATCAAGAAAGTAAACATCGTAACTGTTACCTCAGTCAAAATTAAACAAGACTAAATGCAATGTTTTAAAATGTTTTTGTTACAGATATTTTTGGCAGATAAGGAAAGTTTAGAGATTTTGCTATCTTCGTGGCAACTGACAGAAGAGAGTCAGAGCAAAGGACAGAAAAAAATCCCTATAAAGCAAAGAAAAGAAAAATCTGGACTGTATACAGGCTAACTAGACAGTACTCCAGATCTCGATACTTTGGTTCAAATTTTCCTGACATATCTGTGAGTCTGTGTGTTAATGGAGGGGAGGGGGGAACACATCTGCCTAATGGAGCTTTTTCATGCAGTATTCTACACTTGGAGAATGAAAGGAAAGATAACATTGATCTAAATATAAAAACTTTCTTAAGTTGAATTTAAAAGTGTTTTCCCCTCTTTTTTCTTTTAGCTTTTGAAAAATCATCTGTCATTTATTTGCTTGATATCCACTCAAGGGGACAGTAAGAAAAGACATGGTATTTTTTTTTTGTTGCTGAAATTCCACCACTATCATTTTTCAGAGACATATTATGTAAATAAAACTACATTTGCAATACTCCTAAATCGAAGAAACCATCCCCTAGCAAGTCATAAGTTAGATATAGAAAGAATATAGCCACTCCGAAATTATTATCTCTAAGACAAATAACAGATTGCACAATGTTTTATTGTGTGCCAAGAACGTTTTCAGTTAACAATTTCACTTGAAAAAATGGATCACATACTTGTAAAATCATACCCAGCATTGACTTCATAAGGCATGTGGCTTTAGAGTGCTTTTTACAATTATTAATTCTATTAGTCAACTAGCAGGCGGGCTAATGCAATTGTCTTAGAAGATGCACGGAAGACACAGAAGACATTTTGAGAGCTGATCTGTATATCTGCAAAACAAAACAAAAAAAGGTTTTCCTTCCTAAATTATGCATTCAAAATATGGTTTTTACTTAAAAACATTATTATGCCTATTGTACATTCACATGCATCTATTAGTGGGCACTATACAAAAAGTGGCTGCTGTTCTCCACTTCCATCAAGCGTAAGAAATTCTGTAGCTGCCTTCTCCTCAGACAGACACACACACTCTTGTACACACACATATACAAACACACACACACAGAAAGAGAGACAAAAATGATCTCAGAGGTGATGTTCACCAAAAAACAAGTTTAAAACAAGTTTAAAGTAAGTGTTGAAAACGAGCTGGATAAATGCTGTAAAAAATAAAAGTGCCTTAAAAATGAACATGTATTAACAGGTATTGTGCATCGTAATGGGACTGGCCTAATGGGATGGATAAAGGAATACTAGTAACTGGTTCATAACCAGGCTCTGCCATCAGCAATTGAAAGTTATCATCTGCTGGCTGCCTCATGTCCCACTTGAAACGAATTTAGTGGTGTTACTTGAAGTGGGCAACTATCCTCATCTCAAAAATGCCATCACAATAACAAGCACATTTGTTGGCTGTTAGTGAAGAGGCCAAGTGATGAACAGCCATTGGGACTGAACTACCTTTTTGTCACTGGAAATGGTGATCTTCCCAAAATAAAAGAATTACTAAACCTGAATGTGAACAAAGAGACTTCTCAAGCTGAGGGAACTTTGGATAAGGCCCAGGCTGCAGAACTCATCTTTGGGCTCTGTAATGCAGGGTTTAGTATCTTCTTTTCATTACGCTGAAATTACCTTTAAACCATGTGGCGTTTTTTTTACCTCATATGATCACCCTCAGCTATTTTAAAGTGGAAATAATACTAAAAGCTATATATAGTTTCCCTCAAAACTAGCCAAGCCTACTCTACACAATTCATGCATCTGCGAGATGCAGACTTTTCTGTTCAACAATCACTCACATCAGTTTATCCGTGGAAACTTCTGCTAAAATCAGTTCATAATTCAGGATAATGAATTACCATAGTGACTACTGTACCTCTTTTAAAAAATAAAAAGAAAAATCAAATTCTGATAATCAATAGTTTCTTATGCATGGTGAAGATAATGGCTAATTACCCGCTGATCATCAGCTCCCGCAATGGGTCATTGTTGTTGCTCATTACTTTTATTGAATGTGATGACTTGTCATCAAAGCCTGTTGCAACAGTATGGTTGTTGCCTTGTGCTTGCACTGCAGGTTTAGGTCAGGTCTTAGTCATACGCTCTTTTTAACAGAATAATACATTTAGAAAGATGTCTGAATTTTATGAGATGCTACTGACTAATCTTTGTGCAAGTAGATGCACAAGCAGAATAGCAAACTGAGTCAAGGGTCTACGAAGACTGTGATGTTATCAGTCAATATGCTGCAGCAACAAAAAGTTAAATGAAAATACGCCTTTATATTCAACAGGCTCAAGTAGGACCTCTTTGTTAAGGGATAGTAAAATTAATACTTTTACACTCATATATATTACACACCCACACACAGACATAAAATGCACATATGGTGCTTAAACATCAATCATTTTGCTAGAATAATGCAGCAAAAAATCATTAACTCTCAGTGTCTCAGCTTAATATATGTCTAATACTTACCTATCTCACAGGAGTGTTGTGAGGCTTAATTAATTAGTGACTGTAAAGCACTTTGTGATCCTCTAATGAAAGGTGCTACATAGCACAAAGTATTATTAAAATCATTAGGACCACAAAAAAGCCCTGTGGAATTCCAGCCTACACTGTCTGTTGGGGTTGGGAGTGATCTTATTATTAAAAGGAGACCGTCAGACTAATTTTCATAATTTTTTCAAGATCTTTTTTCCCCCTTTGCTGTTGTGATAGCATGTTAGTAGCTAGAAATTTAATCTTATCATCTTAATAACATACACTCATGTAGTTTGTTACTGCAGGGTTAGAGAAGAGAATAGGGCTTTTGGCACTCATCTGGCTTTCCCTTTTAAGACAAAAAAAAAAATTGAGAGACATATTTTGACACCTTCCCACACGCCACCCCCCCAGGACAGCCGAGCATGTGAGATCGCAGGATACTCACTATAGCCGCATGGGAAAATACTGCTGTGGTTTTAATTTCTCTCTCCTTTTTTTTTTTCTTCTTCTTTCACAGCAGAAAAAACAAGGCACAAAACAAAACCTAGCTCATTACACATAAATAGGCTACAAAGACTGTCTGCTGTGCTTTATATAAAAAACCCTTAAGTGTTCAAAGTGTTGGCTTCTATCAAGCACATAAAGTCCTAACCAATCTGGAGCCTTCTCTCCACTCTCCATATAACAATCGAGCAGCTGTAAGGCACACGAGCTCTGAAGCCAGAAAGCTCCTGTCTTGAGAGAGTGAATTTCTGGGAAACCATCTCCACGGTGGGCTCCGTCCCTGGGGAGCCACCCCACACCCAGCCCTCCCCCCCAGCCTGTCCCGCCGGGCTGGCCCAGACCCGCGCCGAGCACAACCAGAAAGTCAACAAGCTAACAAGGACAGCCCACAGTTCGAAGACCTGTATGTTTTCAGATTTAAGCATTTTCAAAAAATATAATAAATAATAATAATAATAATAATAATAATCTGTAAATACACTGGAAATCTCAGGTGAAATTGCTGCCTTCACTGAAAATTAGATTGCATTAGATGCAAACTACCCCCTGACTCAAACACAGCGGTACAGGACTGGTTAAAGCTCCCATCTCTCCACCTTCCCTCGTGGATACATGAACAGTGAAATGACAGAAAAGAGACATGTATAGCTTCACATCCCCACCACCTCCAGGTGGGACACAAAGCTAGAGGCAGTCACACACGACGCTTCTCTCCCAGCTTTGCTTGTGGTTCTCAGAGCAAGCCTGCCTGAAAACAACTGACACACGGTCCTGACCTTTGTCTGCTGAGAAGGGAAGAACAACCCCTTTTGTGTAAGGAACTCAATAATCAGTCCCTAAAGCATGGGAGGGCAGAATAAACTTAACGACAAGCAACTCCCTCTTCAACAAGACCACCTCCTCCCCCTTGGCACCAGTGTCTTCAAATACACCATACAAGACAGGGGACGTCATGGCTCTAAGCAAGTGACGAACTAATTCCAAAGGACTTTTTAAGCTATACGTGTTTTTCTACAAGCCCTGAAACTGCATGGCCACTCTTTCCTGCCTGAGTTTGCTTAGAGTAGAACATGCCTCTTCATATCAGTAAAACTTGGCAGGATCAGACACTGTATTTGGTCAAAACGTATCTGCTTGATATTCTATACTCTGCATGCTCCGCTGAAATTATGATAGCTTCATCAATCTAGAAAATGCAAGGAGAAAATCATGCCTTATACGTCATACTAGTAGAGCAGTATTATAGCAAAACACTTGGTTTTCACCTCCTCTCTTCCTCTTCTGCATTTTCAGACTCTTCAGTTTGGTCCCTGATCACCAATTTGCCAAGAGCTTTTTGCAATTTTTTTCCACAGAGTTTACAACAAAGAGACAAGTGAAAAAAAGCTGTGGTCTGTTCAAGCTTGCTCCTTCCCACTTACATTTACTTTCCCACCACTGATCGTTCTCCAATCCCTAAAGGTGCACTTTTGGACATCTTAAATCCTGTTCAGCTACAAAGTGTCATCACCTTCAAACAACTCTCATCAAATAAATCTCTTATTAAATCACATCAAATTAATTCAAAATTATCTTTTCTATTGCCATATGCTTCAGAGCACAGCACATATTAGCCATCTAGCCACTGAAATAAATCTAACCTTTTCTATGGGTATAGACCAGACACTTGGTCATTTCAGAGAGTTTAGGAGTGGCATTTCAAAATAGATTGTTTGAACCTAGTTCCAGGCACTTCTTTCATTTTAAGCTCACTACCGGGGTAATCATGAAGACACTTTCAGGAGAAACTGAGGTCAAAAGATGATTTGTCTGAAGAGGCGACGTGGGGTGGAATATTACAGTATCTTGCAACCAAAATGAAGAATTCTACAATCGTTTCTTTTATTTAAGAGTGCTTGAGCATGGCAGTTTGCTGCTCTGCATTTCTTACGAGCCTGCTAGCAGAGCTTGCTCCTACTGACCTCCGCTGCCATCCATCCAGGATGGGGGAGACCAAGAAGGTAAAGATTCGCTTTGCCCTGGCTTCCAATCAAGCATCTAAAAATATTCTGTAAACATGACAACCTGTTCAAGCCTCAAAGAACCTTGCAAAATAATTAAAAATAATAATTAAAAAAAAGAATTTTAAAAAATTAATATCACTGCCATTTTACAGATAAATAAAATCAAGGTGTTCAAGGTGATGTACAGGCAGGGCTCTTAGCTAGTGACTGAACCTGGTTTCTCTTGATCTCCAGGCCCATATCCCTCTCCTGTATGCATTTCAGTAGAGAGCGTGTCACCCTGGCACTTGGCAAAGGGCCAAGATCCTATAATTTAATAAGGTACAGAAAGAGCACCTCATGCAAAAGTCTAAATGCTCCAATTTATCATGACAGTTATGGGATAAGCTGACATTTTATTTGTATGTAAATTAGTCTCCAAAACAGCATAAAAAGGCCACACTTTCAGAGAATATTGTACCTTTGCTTCTCTGTTCTGCATTTATCTAAACTCAGCTTTGTGTATTAAAAGTAGTTTAATTTTTATGTATCGATGCTTCTTTGCATGCTCCTCAATCTGTTGTTATTGCACCGCAGAGAGAATCCAGCCTGATTTGCTTACTGAAATGAAATAACTGACTTCTGCCAGGACTGACACCTCCTATGAGAGCCCTGCCATCCTCACTGAATCTTCTGGTTATTCTATTAATTTGCTGTCATTACACTTTATAGGATTGTAGAACATTCCCTATTAGATGAGACCAGAGGTCCATTTAGTCTGGTGTTCTGCCTTGGAGAGCGGCCAATACCAGATCCTTCAAAGAAGGTTCAACTGCCTATGGACAGAT